GAACTGACGAGAAGATCTAAAACAAACTATGAGCCTGACGTGCCACTCTAATTACATTTAAGGATGAAGTGCTCGCAATATATATACATCTCGTGAGTTATATCGCAAAATGGTAAAATTTGGGCCTTGGGGGTTGGCCTACTACTTAAACCCAAACAAAAAAAATCCCATACACCCAACCAAATGTCTTATTTGGGGTTGACATACTACTTAAACCCGAACCAACAGAATGATGAATGGACAGCTACTCCAGTAATTTGCGAATCACATGCAGAAAAATCAGATCAAAAGTCAAACGTATAGTTTGTTGAACAACCACCACCAGCAGCAATCCTTATGGATAGCAGATCACTCTCACAGTCCATTCTAGAAAAAGGAAAATCTGCTCTGAGTGACCAAGACGCAAAGAAAATAAAAAATCAAAAACAGACTTGTACTGGTAAGATGTGCAAGTAAAGTATCGGGTTTCAAGTACCAGGAATAGGGACCAGTTGATAAACGAACCAATTAATAAAACTCAGCCAGAGTGTTCCTAAAAACATGTAGCGTCACTGGTATATACCATACTACATTAAACTTCTCTTAACTGTAACGATCCAGATTTCACATGAAACAAAAGAACAAAGCCAGTGCTAGCCACTAAGTCACATGACATGCTAATTGCTTGTATATTGAGTTAATGGGGAATATTGCTTGCTTCTTTCCAGTAACCAGTTCCAGTCATGAAAAAGAATACATGCAAATACTACTAGAAAAAGGAAAGTATGCAGAACCTGTTCGAGGTCTTCAGCAAGCTTTTTTCTCTCATTTTCATTGTGCGTCTCACGTTTGTTCAGTTCTTCACCAAAACGTTCAAGATCTCTCATACGAGTTTCCAGTTGAGATTTCAGCTTCTCATGCTCATTGAAAATCTTCTTGTAATGATCTTGGGCACTATTTGCAATCTTTTTTATCTCTGATTGACACAACGGATAGTTCAGATTTTAAAGCAGGCCAAATTAGATTTAAATTGAAAATGATCCACACAATAAAGATGAAAAACCTTCATTGTAGGATTGGTGAAGATCATCCTTTTCTTTGATCAACTGGCTTAGAGAGCTTTCAGTCTCCTTAAATTTACTCTCCATCTCTAGCAAGTGCATCTTCTTTTTCTCAATAACATTTGTCAAATTACCGATTAGCTTGTTAGTCTTTCGAGCTTCCTCTTCCTTGAGATCAGACATGGTTCTCAGATCACCAATCTTTCGAAGATTTTCTCCAACAATGTTATTAGAATTATAGTCTTCTGCACGAGCAACCCATGCATAAAGGTCTGACTTCTTTTCGTTCTTTGCCAGCCAGTTCCTCCTTCCATGATGCTTAGCCTCGTAGAATGTCTCAAATGACATAGCATTAGGAAGTCCTTCCCAACCCTTCTGAAATTCAACAATAGCAGTTCCTGAATGGCCTTGATAATTCCACAAGGGGCGCACTCTCATCGGATTAAATCCTCTGCTGGCCAACAGTTCCCTCAATTTACTACCACTCTCCCCTACATATCGACCATCCTGAAAGTAAGTAGGAATATTTACCACGATACCAATACATGGCCAGACAATCATCTCATCACTGTCATATTCTGCAAGGGCATCTACTTCATCAGAAGGCTTTGAAGGACCAGAGTTAGCCGTCATCTCGTTTTCCAAGTACTTCGCCAGGGCAATATGATTTGCCTTGTCTCTTGCATTTCTTTTCTGCGAACTACAATTGCCAATCGAGCTCGCGTGATGCAAGAGTTCTTTATACTGGAAGTCACGCTTCTTTTTCTTAGTGCAGTAGGGGCACGTGTAAGCCTGATCGGATATCTTAACCTGGTGCTTTCCATTTCTCAACTCCTCATGTGCCTTCTCCACATACTCCTCAGTTTCAGAGTCAGAAACGTCAGTGTCGTCACCCGAACTATGGTCCACAGAACTTCCCATCAGTCTCGATCTCACTGGAAATTAAACAGCAAGAACGGTATGCTACAAACCACTAGAAAACTGTCTCGAATGAAAGAACCACTAGAAATTAAACAGTAAGCACTCAGACAGAGACCGCACGCGATAGAATTGTAAGGAAAACGAATTTTTCAGCTTCGTCTGGAGGCAAGATTCATAATACCCAAAAAAAATAAAAAAAAAAAAATACCTTTGATCTATTCATTTCCTTTGAATTTCACAAACATTACAGCGTTGTCAAGCAAATGTAAACATGCATTTATCAGAAGTGAACACCACAAAACATAAATCTCAAGATCTGAGCTGAATTCGAAGCCTAAAGAAAAACATGCAGCTAAGCAAAACACAGAAAAATCACACAGCCATATGAGCCCATACATACACACTACTGCAGATCTAAAACGAATTACCTGTGAA